AAAAAGTAAATCATAAACAAATTTATAGCAATTTTCCAGGCAAATTTGCCTGGAATTGTCTACAGTTTAAGGGATAACAACCCAGAGATCTAAAACACCATATTTTAAACAACTATACAGTGTTAATGATTTTACAATGTAACAAATAGTTGAACTGTATATATATAATTAAAGCAATAGAGGCGTAAAAATTTTAAAGTATACTGTATATATTTTTTAATCCTTTTTCTTTAGGGCTTGAGTTAGGATTTAGATTAGAATTGTTAATAAAAAGTGTAAATAGGTTTATGTATTCGAATAAAGATCCCAAAATTTCGGCTTCAGCCAATTTCAATTTTAGCTGCCACAATTATTAGTAAATTATCGAAGTATAAATCGTGCAACTTGGATGACCGAAAATAATGTTTCGTTCTGCAACTTAACTAAAGAAAAAAATTACATAAACGAAATATATAAACTCATAAATTAAGAGTAACAAAATTTGAAATATCTTACAATTTATTCGTTGTAAGGTTGAAAAAAAAACTAATATTTAAGCTACATTTTTGCTTTTAAAGAAGGTTGGAGAGTCTTATCTAAGACATTCAAAATCAGTATATTGTAAATATATCATAATACTATAAAAAATAATTAACTATATAATGATACAAATAACTAATATAGTAATTTCAGAATTAGTCTTAACTCAATTGCCCGATCAATATAGCATCCACAATAGTTCCTTTATCTAATTCTTTACACTGATCAGTTTTTTCTGGTAGCTTTAACAAAGAATTACAACTTCTCAAACTAAGCATGCGGCTGCTTATTTGATGTCCCGTGGAAGTTGCCATAAACTTTCCTTTTGAATGATCGAAAAAAATTACGGCTCGATGATATTCGGGACGCGGATCCAGTGATACTTTGTACGTTAACTAATAAGTATAAATAAAAAATTTGAGAAAGTAGTTTAAAGAAAGAATAATTATAAACGTATATTCAGAAGATCCTAAATATCTACCTCCGCTTGTAAAATGGGTGAATTCCAATTTTCATAACCAGCTAATTTCCGAAGAGCAGGTAAAACAAATAAATAGAAAGTAACGGTGGCAGAAGCCGGATTTCCAGGCAATCCAAATATTAGCTTCTCAGGTGCATCGGCTGTTCCTGGAAGAGTCGCAAAAGTAGTTGGCTTCCTAATCAGACAAAATCAATAAAATTAATATAATTCCTACAACAATAGAAAAAAAGTTCACTAGTATAACTATTTTACCCTGGCTTCATCTTTACTCTTCCAAAGTGAATGGTTGCACCCAAAGATTGTTGCAAAGTAGGCTTAAATAAGTCTAATTCGCCCATAGATACACCTCCAGTTGAGACTAACACATCGACTTGTGTTAAAGCTTCTTTTAGCTTTTTCTCTAACGTGTCAATGCTATTCAATCTTTTCAAAGCATTAATATATGAGCCTATAGTCTTGAGCTCTTGTTTATAAAAATCAAACAGTATGCTGTCTTTCATCTTACATTCTTCTTCCCGAGCCTTGATTCGATCATCATACGAATACAAAGATAATACCTCTAACCTTGTATCGAATAGAATATTATAGGAGAAAGCTTTATTGGAGGTAAATGCTATGCGTTTCATATATTTTTCATCTAGATATTTTGAAATGATGTTAAAATCTATTAGTACAG